TAAAATAGCAGTTTGCACAATGAAACTCATATGAACATTCACTAGTGATAGTTTAAAAAAATCATTTATAGATAACACTTTTAGAACTATTTTAAAGTATTTATTATTATGTAGCATTTTATATAAATGTCAAAAATACTCAAAATAGTAGAAAAATTATATCACCACATGAAAATTTATATTTTTTCTGTTAATGTGACCAAAATATTTTATTTAACAACATACCAAAAGTTGCAAGATGAAACTATCCTAAATTTTCATAAATTTGTGTTTTTATAAACTCAAATCAAATGAAACATAAAAAATACCCACAAAAGTGATAAATTTGAATTCTAGAATAGGGTAAACATAGTTTACCTTGAGCCAAACAACTTTTCCAATTAGCATGTCAAACAAAATTGGCTTTAAGACCTCTAAATTTAATTTTATCTCTCTAAAATTATTATTATTATTATTATTCTTCTCTCTCTCTCTAAAATTCCTCTTTTTCTCTCTTTAACTGGATGTAGGGCTGTCAAAATAAGGTAAGATTTACTTCAAACGGGTCGATTTTCCAAACTTGAACCCGAGCAACCTGACCCGAACTCGGCCCGTTTTTGCAAACGGGTCAGTTTTCCGAACTTGACCCGCTTCGAGTTCAGGTCAACTCGTACCCGACCAGCTTCGGGTATACTATATTAAATTTTTTTTCTTTAATTCAATTTATTTAAATCTAAATCAAATTAAGGTAAGATTTCATTCAATTAATTTAAAATAAATCAAGATTAATTTAATTTGGGCAACAATGTTTATAATTTTTTGAAATATTATTTACTTATTTCATAAAAATTCTTTAAAATCCATCTAAATTAATTAAAAACGGGTCAAACCGGACTGATTTCGGGTTTCCGAGTCAACCCGAACCGACCTTGTTTTACAAACAGGTCAAAATCCCTAATCCTAACCCGAAATTTTAGAGTCAGATTTTTGGGTCAGGTCAAATATTGACACCCCTAACTATATGCCTCTAACAAGAAATGAATTTTTATAAATAAATTTTGATATTTATAAATGCAGCGCCATGACACTACCATTTTTTGTGTTGTAGCGGTCATAGTGGAAATTTTTAGACACTTAGATAAAGAGCTTGACACCACAACATCCCTTTCCCAACGCCTTAGCACTCCTAAGAAAAAATTCAATAGTAAATTGAGACTTTAGCATTGTAGAAATCCTAAATAGTCCTAACTACTAGAGAGTAGTGCCACATCATCACAACTATAGTGCTGTTGCGCTCCCAAGGATAATTTTCATATTTGTATTTTTCTCTTTTCTAGTTCGAACTACAACCCTTTTATGGCCAAAATAGCAATAAAAATAACTTTAAATTTTAATGTACACTTAATGAACTTGTAATTCCAACCAGATTAAATTCGAGTCAACACAAGTAGACACAACACTGTAGAAATAGTCATTACATTATCTTCTCCTTAGAAAAAATGACATCCTAGATATTTCACTATAAGCTACTAGTCAGAATATATCTGGAAGAAGTTGTCTCATCTCAGCCTCTTTCTCCCGGATTACTTATCTTTCTGATTTGTACTAAAATTCAACAGATCATTAAGCACACAAATAGTCATCTCAGATTGGCCATTTGTTTCTGGATGAAAACTTGAATCAACATTCAACTTAGTACTCAAACCTTCATGAATGCCTTTCAACAACTGGAAAGTAAACCTACCATCCTTATAAAAAATTATAACCTTAGGTATTCCATATGTGTGACAATCTCCTACACTTATAATTGTGCCAACTTCTCTATTGAATCAATGTCTCATTAGAAGAAATGTGTTGACTTTGTCAACCAATCAACCATAGCCCATACATCATCATGACCTTACCTTGATCTTGATAATCTCATATATAAAAATATCCATCATGATTTCTTCCCACTTTGAGTAGATCTAAAACTGAATATATGGAGTGTAATTTTAGTGGAAATAGACCTAGTGAGGGGATTGTGGCTTTGGGCGATCAAGTCATTAATAAGAGTACACGTTTTAGATATCTTGGATATATTGTTCAGAGTGATGGTGAAATTGATGGGGATATTATCAACAGAATTCAAGTTGGATGGTTGAAGTGGAGGAATGCATCGGGCTTATTGTGCGATAGAAAAGTCCCCCACAAACTTAAAGGAAAATTCTATAAGATGGTGGTGAGACCTGCAATGCTTTATGGTGCCGAATGTTGGCCATTAAAAGAGAAGCATAATACTAAGTTAAGTGTTGCAGAGAAGAGGATGCTTAGGTGGGTGAGTGGCTTGACCCTTAGAGATAGGTTACGAAATGAGCATATACGTGAAAAGGTTGGAGTAGCTCTAGTGGAAGATAAGATTAGAGAGAGTCGCCTTAGAGGGTTTGGTCACATTAAACGGAGGCCTTCCGACGATGACCCGGTTAGGAAAGTTGATGTATTAGATTTGGCTTATGTTAAGAAAGGTAGAGGTAGACCTAAAAGGACTTGGTTAGAAAATATTAGAAATGATCTTTTTTTATTAGATTTAGAAGAGAATTTGACTTTTAACCGGACACAATGGCAAAAAAGGATTCATGTAGCCGACCCAAAGTAGTGGGACAAAGGCTTGATATTGTTGTTATTGTTGTTGTTGATTTCTTCCCACTTTCATTCAGGAATATATAAAGGTTGCAATAATTATAAGTTATGGCCTCTAATGCTTAGCTTACACCAACAGTAATAGTAACAGTAACTTAGTTGTCACTTATCATCATAATTGGTTCCATTTGGCCAGATTTCCTCACAAAAATGAATAATAGCCAGAGATTGATTTTTAATTAGTTATAAACCTATGCCATTCATCATTAGCAAAACTTTCTATACTCCTATCTTTTAAAAAATTAAGATTCCTTTTTAGGTATGTTAGTATCCTATAGACTACATTAAATTAGTAATTAGTTAGAGAATTCATAAACAGGTTAATCACATTGATGGAGTAACATAAGATAGGATGAATGGGAGAGATAAATTGGTTTTCCAACTAGATACTTGGTACCAAAGGATATTATTTTTAGTATGATTCAAAGAAGTAATTACGAGTTTGCATCCTATCATTCCAAATTTTAAGAGCTTACACTTATATTTTTGTTGAAAGACATATCCACCTTTTTTTATTATGTTATTTTCATTACCAAAAATATTTTCGGGCTCCCTAATCTTTAATTTCAAATTTATTTGCTAAAGTCATTTTTTAATCTTTTGATTATAACTCATCATTGCCAATAAGGAGAATATCATTCATATAAACAACCAAAATAATGATTTGACTAGCAAGTGATTTCTTTAAAAATTAGACATGATCAACCTGCCTTTGAGAATATTCATATTTTTTAATTATAGTGATAATTTTTTTTAACCGGGTTCTTAAAGATTGCATATATATATTTGGGAACAGGGTATCCACCCGCTGCCACCTCGAAATGACGCTTGACGGCGTGACTAATCATCGGCTGACCTAAAAGATTGCATATATATATTTTCATTAAGAGGCACTGTCGCTCGAGGGTAATCGAGCATGGGTTGGGGGATTCCCAATAGTACTCGCCCACAAACCAAGCAAAACAACAGTGAGTACATGAGGAATATTTATTAACACTTCTTCCACATCTCTATTTAGAAATGCATTTTTAATATCTAGTTGGTGAAAAGACCAATCAAAATTTATGATTATTGCGAGGATGACTTGGATAGAGTTAATATGAGCAACTAATGAAAATGTTTCCTGATAATCTATGCTACATGTTTGAGTAAAACCATTTATAACCAGTCAAACATTGTATTGTTCTATTTCCCATTAGCCTTGCATTTTATATTGAAGATTCATTTGTAGCCAACATGTTTCTTTCTATTTGCCATGAGCTATTATTTTCGAGTACTTCTATTTCTTCATAAGCATCATCTCTATATTCAAATATTTATAATGCTTTCCTGAATGTTGTTGGGAATGTTCACACTAGAAAGGTTGATTGTAAAAGCCTTAAACTAAGATGATAGGTTATTGTAAGTAATATATTCATTAAATGGAAATTTTATACAAGATTTTGTTGTTCTTGTACTTTTCTTAGTGAGAAATTAGGACATCAAGATCATAATTAACATTACTATGTGAATATTGATAAGTGCTTGGTTCAGTTAGGTGGTTTTGTTGTGGATGAATGCGAGTTAAAGAAAATGATTGATTTCCAACCGCTAGTAAACAGCGGCGGTCAGACCACCAGTTTCACTGCCGGTAATTCCGGCAGTCAATCAGTGAATTTCTTATAGTGATTCATAGAACCATAAAATATATTCCTATTTATATAGTAATATTTGCATCATTGTTGGTTCAGAGAATAACAGCAAAGATGCATTTAATGGCTTTTGGGTCAAATTTGCTGCAGTCATGAGTTGTGATATGAACAGATACAGAGCACTAAAAAAATTTAAAGAAGAATAGTGGAGAAAAGTCTAATCGTAGGCAATGTTCCAAGGAGAACTTTTCAAAGAACTTTGAATTTAAGATTCCTCAATGGCATTTATTCATATCCCACATTAAAAACAAGAGAGATACAGGAATAGAAGATAATATTCAATCAAATTTCTTGATTCAACTACAAGAATCATTACATAAGCAAAATAAATTCAATTACTAGCTAGTAATAGAATTAAGGAAATAATCAAAGCAGAAAAAATAAAAAATTTTGAAGATTTCTGAAAACACAGAAGAAGACTAAAAATTTTGCAGCAAAAAGCTGCAAATTTTAACTCCCACGCCTACCTGCTGTTAGTAAACTTTCCTTAACAGCACTGCATTAGCTAACCATTCTATAAAAAATTGTAATATCATAATCAACAAAACTTGTTCTTTCTTTCATGAAATATATAGCAAGATCTGCTCTCTTTATGAATCTTTCTTCTCTGCACCATTGTTGTTCATCAGAAGGATTGAAGGAATTCTAAAATCATCTCATCAAATCCTTGCTCTCCTTATTGCAGTCCAATTTGAAGAGCTCGAGTCGGTTGGAAGCAAGCCTGAGTGAGTACATAGTCTTTTTGTACTCAGCCCAAGTGTAGGACCTATATTTCAGAGGATTCTCAAGTGTGACCATCTCTGGTAGAGGGGAGATGCAAGCTTGTAGGGAGGGTGCAACAAAAAACATTGTGGATAGCCTGGATTTTTGTGCAGTTACTATAGCCCTATGCCTCACACTTACAAATCTTCCATTTGTCATAGCCTGAAAGAGAAGGGAATATGATTATTGATTGGCTTCAACATTAAAAAGAATAAAATATAAAGACGTAGAAGTGCAGTTTTTTTGCTAGAAAGGCTAAGAGAAGTTGGAATTGGATCACTTTTCTACTTTATTTCATGGTGCTATGTGTATATATTAAATTAAGGTCTCGTTTGGAACAACTTCTGGCTACTGTTTTTCCTCTATTTCAAAAATTGTGTGTTGGAAATCTGTCGTAGAAACCAATAAGAAAGTTGTTCCAAATGAAGCATAAGTAAGATAGATTGGAATATGATCACTGATTGGCCTCAACACACTGAGGGAAAGATATGTATATTTGAATCATAGAAATAACCTCTTTGTTATGAAAGAATATAAATGCAAAACTTCAACCTATCTTTAGACTTGCAAGCAGGGGCAAAATCAACTATAATTTTCAGGGGTGCAAACTTATACGTAACTGTTGGAAGATATATTGGGGGTCCAAGGGGGCAGCTCCCCCTGACGGGGTTCGACCTTACAGTAAAGAATCATATAATAAATAAAAAAATCTTTTTTTGAGGGGGACTCAAGGGGGTTCCACCCTTGCTTGCAAGAATGCGAATTTTGTACATTATTTTGCCTTTCAAATTTGATTATGATTTGCTAAACCATATGAAGAACATGACTAGTTTAGATCAAAAATCATGCATGAACTGTGTATATTTGAAGAAATATTTACAGATTTGAGGTGTTACAAACCTGCAGAGCATCGCCAACATTGATGAAGAATGCTGACGGATCAGACTTCACTGGGATCCATACGTTGCCATCCAAAGGTGATTGTATTTGCAAACCTTCAACATTATTCGATCTAAGGATGGTGAGAATCTGAGGATCAGAATGCTCACCAAATCCAACCCTTGAACTCTTGTCATCTTTAGTCTTCATGAAGCTCAACCTTTGGTCAGCATCGCTATCACAGGAAGGATAGTGGTTTAGCCTTATAAGAGAGTCATTTTGACTATCCTTTAGGAGTTTACTGAAGGTCTTTTTATCCTCAAGCCCCAGCCCTTCTCCTAGTAACTCCAGTAAGTCACATGCAAGCTCCTTCATCAAGTCCACATAATCACTTAGCACAGAACTGTAAGAAATAAGAGAAAAAATCATAAGTATTCAATGTTTCAGATATTGATCTCAATTTAGCTTCAAAGTTCAAAGGGACTATTTTGGATCAATTTTGTATAGTCAAATTAAAGCAACGTTATACTATGTGATTAAAATAACCATATATGAATAGTCAGGAGACTATTTGAAATTTATATGGATAATCATTTCTAGCGGTGAATATGACACTAGCTAATAACCAAGTGTGCTAGAAAGAAAAATGTTAATATAAATTTGTAAATAATATATTAAAAAATGATTATATTAAAGGAATGATAAGACTAATATGACAAAATAGAAAAAAAAGAAGAAGATTTGGACATGAAATTGAGGTCAAAAGATGCACCAACAAGACAAAAATAAAATTATTACAAAGAATCAGAAAAATAAATGGTTAACTAATGGTAATATGATTAGAGGTTGTACTTCAATATTGCCTCAAAATAAAGTTTTTATTTCATGCAATTCAATACAGATTAATAAAAAATGATGATTCATAAAGTCAACTCCTAGTAGTTGGATCAGTTTAATGATGATGATAATGAAGCATCTTCATCATACACCCCAAATATCCATCTCACCTAGCATTCTCTTATCATCATTATTTTTTCTTAATTTGGTATCAAATGAGCATCAAACTAATGATTGATCGATAGTTTTGTCCACCATACATAAATATCTCCCACCCTTTTGCAAGGTTACCTTTCACCTATCGGCAGAGCCACGATGGGGCCATCGGGGGCGCAGACCTCCAGTTGCACGCTTATTTTTTATTTTTTAAATATATTTGATCATATATATATGCTAATAAGACAAGCATGAAAAAAAAAATTAAGAAGCATTAAAAGCATCAATCTAGCATAAAATTCAAGCTGCTAAGGACAAACTAAAGAACTAAAGCTGTATTATTTCCACCTAAGACTACCTGGAAATATAACATGATTAATTTACTGTGTTCAATAGTTAAATATAGGAGAAAAATGGTGAAGATAATTTACCTGAACCTATTGGAGTCCTTGCTGCTGATGTTTCTGATTCTGTCATAGATGGATGTAGGATTTGCATGGAAGAGAAGATATTCAAGATCACCAGTGTCGCCATTGAATCCGATTTTCTTGCTCCCATATCCAAGAGGATTAGGAGGGCCAGCCTTCTGCTTCTCGGCAGTCGGTAAAGAGAAAAATTCCTTGCTTTCCTTCTCAACATTGTCGATAATTTCCTTGGGCACACCATGATTGATCACCTTAAAGAAACCGAATTCCTCACAGGCTTTCACCATGAGTTTCCTCACTTTATCCCTCTTCCCAGAGAGATCTATCACTGGCAAATCAGACAATACCATCCTCTCCTTGCTCTCTGGTATCAAAGTTGTCATCACCATGGCTTCACCACCCTTCAGTTCTGATTTGGAAGAGAAGTTCAGAATAAGAGAAGAAGAAGAAGAAGAAGAGATGAGATAATTGGGAGTAGGAGGCAGTGATCGATGAAGTTTGAGGGATGAAGGAACTTGTTCTTATTTATAGGAAATTCTGGTGTGAGTTTGGACAAGTACAAATGGCCATGACCTCTCTCCTACTAGCTGTTGACCATGTTAATTATTCTCCTCGACAATTTCTCCTGGTATCCAAAAAAGCAATTATCCCTTACATAATGTATTAATAAACACGAAGGTATATAAGTTTAGAAGCCTGAAGGAACTTTCCATCATTCATGTTTTATTTTTGTATATAGCCAAGGCCTTGAGGAGGTCAATCTTGGTGGGGGTAAAGCTTCTTGTTGGCATTTGATTAGAATCTTATGGGCTACGAGGAGGTAGCATCTGGCACATTGGCCTCTCCAAATCATCTCATTGTCCAGCTTGTTTGGCTTAATCCTACGTCTAGAATAAGAACTTGTTCTGCTGCAGCTGTATCTTTTACTTCTGGAATATCATTAATTGATTAAGGCTTCGTTCGTGATAGCTTTTGATCATTATTTTTCTGCTACTTTTATTGAATTTTTGTGCTAGAAAAAAGCTGCTTTTGAAAGCAGTAAGAAAGAAACAACAACAAACATTTGGGTATTAAGACGTTTCACAGATGGATTCTCTTCTCTTTTGTGCTGTCATAGCACCGGCGACTGCCAGTTAATTATGGCGGTCATAGCGTCGGCGACCGTTGGTTAATTACCCACGGCGTACTGACCATCTCAAACGCCGGTTTTGCCACTATAGGAAAATCAACGATTACCGGCAGCTTAATCGGCTGTCTGACCGTCGGTACTAACCGGTGGTTTACCTGATGGTAAAATAACCCCCGGGTAGGATGCTGGTTTTCTATTTTCGCAGCGCCTTTACCAGCGGCCAAACCGCCTGTGTTAAGTATTTTTTTGGGCGACTGAAACAGCCGGAAAACAGCCAAAAATAGACCTAAAATTAGCTAAACCGTCCTCATTTGTTTGCGTATCATCCTCCGCTGGCCTCCGACTGCCTCCGCACTAATCCGGCCGCCGACACCGTAACTCCGGCCGATGATCACACCCTTACTTTGGCCGCCGATTACGCCCCTCAGCCTCCCGAAATTTCTTGCTTTGCCCGTTGACGCACTCGATCACTCCGGCTAAGTCGAATGCCCCGAAGGTTTGAATTTCTTGCTCTGCCCAAACGCCCAGCCACCGGCTAACCACTGGTTGACCGCCGGTTACCGTCGGTGGACCACTGGTATTTACCGATGGCTATATTAAAATTCCGACAATTAAAATAAGCCGTCCGGTATCGATGTTTCCGACTGCCAAACCGTCGGTTAGCTGCCGGAAACCTATAGCATTTAAAAAAAAAAAATTGACAGTTTCCCCTCTATTGATATAAATTTTCATAATACCGGCACATAATTCAAAACATATATAACACAGGACAACATGCCACTATAATCAACTTACATAAATGGAGTCCAAAATCAACATAACATTCAATAGCAAAACACAATCAACAAATCATTTTTGCACAATAAAAAATCCACAATAAGCAGAAACAAATGTTTAAACAAAGAGAAATGCATATGTTCTATAATAAATATAACATATAAAATCCACAGTAGAATGTTCAAAATACACCAAAAAGTTCATCAAACAAATGACATCACTAATCATCATCCGTGTCCTCGCTGCCTTGTGATTCATGTTTCGGCTTTTGCTCTTTCTTCTTATAATTTTCGTCTCTATAGGATCGCAGCTCCACCAGCATCTCGTTTTGAATCTTTCTCATCTCCTCTATCTCTCTCATCGGAGCAACAACCCTCTGGCTAACAGTTTCTTCAGCTCCACTAACATCATAAAATTCTGATGTAGATGAACTGCCCTCATAAGCATAGCCATGCGGTCAAATAGCTGGTTAAATTGATGGTAATTCTGGCGGTAATTTGACCGACGGTAATCGTTGGTTCTCTTATAATGTATCATGCATCATATTCTGGCTTTACAACATAATATTCAATTTAGAATATCTTCGATTCATGAAATGGTAATCGTTTACTCTGTTAGTTTATACATGCTGTTAGTTAAATTTAAACAAAAAAAAGTTTATACCTGCTGTTAGTTTCTCTTTTGTCATGAGATTTTGTTTCTCTGTTGCCTGATCTTTATGTTTTTATACCTGCTAGTAGTTCTTATCGTGGCTATTGCTGTATTTTTCTGCTAGTTCAAAATGGTGGTTGTTGCTGTATTTTTTTGTTCTTATCTTTGTTCTGTTAACGTTGACCTCATCACAACTTTTATGTCATATGTTGCGCCTTCATCAGGTTCTATCATTTATTTTGTTGTTTTTTTACTTTTTAGTTCTTGTTTGTTGCTTTTCTTCCTCCTTTTGGTGCAAGTTTTTTGCAGTACTTGGGTTTCATTTGTCAAATCTTTGCGACCCTCTTTTGGGTGATGGCTCCTGACATCCCTAGTATTTTTTTATAGGTTTTATTTTGTTTATAATTAGGTGGGATCTTTGGCTCCTAGGTGCTTATTTTTGCTTTTGATTGTATGATCTCATGAGCTGTAGCGAGCTTTAGATCCCTTCGAAGGACTTGTAATTTTTTGTTTAATTAACATGCACGTAGACCTGATAGTGGGTTTCCTCGGGGGGAAAAAAAACCCTAAATCTAAATCTGACCATCATGTCTTACATAGCTTTAGATTCCTTCGAAGGACTTGTAATTTTTAGTTCTTGTTTGTTGCTTTTCTTCCTCTTTTTAGTGCAAGTTTTTTGCAGTACTTGGGTTTCATTTGTCAAATATTTGCGACCCTCTTTTGGGTAAAGGCTCCTGACATCCCTAGTATTTTTTTATAGGTTTTATTTTGCTTGTAATTAGGTGGGATCTTTGGCTCCTAGGTGCTTATTTTTGCTTTTGATTGTATGATCTCTTGAGCTGTAGCGAGCTTTAGATCCCTTCGAAGGACTTGTAATTTTTCGTTTAATTAACATGCACGTAGGCCCGATAGTGAGTTTCCCCTGAAAAAAAAAACCGCCCCAAAAAAAATCTAAACCTAAATTTGACCATCATATCTTACATAGCAAAATATGTGATACCATCAACCATAATCATTATTAGGCTTGTTTCAACATTTGGGTGTCAACTCTATCAACCAACCAGTCAATTTTGTTTATTACAACTTGAGATGATTGTTTTAGCCTTAGCAAAATTTATAATAACCCTATTAATTTTTACCCTGCCTGTTCACAGAGATCTTTGAGCCTCTCACTTACTCTTCATACTTGTTAATTTCCTCACTTAATTCTTTCGCACTAATTTGCTAAACCTCTCACTTTATAGTTTTATCATGCATTCATCTTACAAATTTTATTTCTGCCATCATAAACTTGATTATCAATCAATTATTTGGGCTTCGTTTGAGATGACTTCCTTACTATTTCTTAAAGCAGTTTTTTAGTACAAAAATTAAAATTTTTATGCTAAAAGTTGCTTTAAGAAACAGTAAAAAAGCTGTCACAAACAAAGCTTTTATGTCTATCAATTGGATAGATAACATACCTAGTTTCATTATGATCTTATAGATTATATTTTTAAGTCTTCATATATTATATTGTGACATTATATTATATTCTTGAGATAGTTAATCATTTTAGCCACTTAATTTAATCTCTTTTATGTCCTCAATTAGAGGGGTATGTGCTGCCTAGTTCGCGAATTGAGTCGAACTTAACTTATTAATGAGCCAATGAGCTGAGCTTAATGGGCATCATAGTCAAGCTCTAATTACAACTTGTATGTTAAGTTAGCTCGAGTTCGAGCTTGATGATGCTCGGTTTGTTAGCTCATGAGCTGGCTCAAGTTTCATTTCTTATTTATTGTTAGGTCTAGTGAATTTAAATCAAATCTTGTTGATGCTTTCTCTAGTTAACAATGAGCTCTCATCACACTCTAGTAGCTAGTTTTGTGAATGTCTTCTCTAGCAAGCATTGAGCTCTTGTGGAGGGGTGCAACTGAGTCAAGCTAACTCACGTACCTGTTTGTGCTCAACTAGTTAACGAGCTCATGAGTCGAGCCTGAGCGGGACTTTGAGTTCACTAGCTTATTGAGCTAGAGTTTGATCCTCGGGATACTCAGCTTGATTACTCATCGAGCCGCTCGAATCCCAATGGCAGAAGAGACTGCGAGCTAGAAGGAGGGATCAAAGCCTTGAACGTGGAACTTTGATGCGGAATGAGGGCTTGGATGGGGGCTAGGACGACGGAATCGCGGGGTAGCAGGTTCAGAAGACGGAATCATGGGACAGGCGAGCTCGGACTATGGAACTCGAATGCGGGCTCGGACAGCAGAACTTGGACGCGAGTTCAGACGACAGAGATGCGGGGCAGAATTGAAGTTCAAACAGGATATTCGAGCAACTTGACGAGCCGTTTTTAGTGGAATGAGCCGAGCTCTACATTTGAGCTTGATCTCAATTTCAGACTTTGGCTCGTGAGTCGAGCTCGAGTAAGGCTTGACTCAAGCTCGACTTGTTTGTAGCCCTACTCCTGTGATAACTTCCTCATTGTCCCATTTTGTCATCTCCAACAAGTCCCCATTATGACTTCCTTGCTTTTGGGTCCTCAAGTTCACTAGTCGAGCTCAAGCCCATTACATGAGCTCAACTCAAGTTGGAGCAAGCCATTGAGCGGAGAGTATAGTTTTGGTTTACTATGACTTTGAGCTTGACTCAACTCAAAGATTCCATTTATTCAAAACCAAACCAAACTTCATTTCAATTTGATTCGGTTGTACACATAATTTGAACGATTCAATTTTATAGATCTCATATTCAAAAGACCAAATTATTTGGCGAATCAATCAACCAATCAATCCAAATAAACATAACACACACCCATAATAATAAACATATATAGTTAATTAGTCTCCCCATAGCTTCAATATGTAATAGTAGGG